TTCTTTAAGTTTTTCTTTCAAACGTTCCTCATGCTTGATTTTTTTCATATCTGTATATGATTCACCGATAAACACTCGATTGTATGGCCCAAAATATCCATCGTTTAAACCACATCTTGATTTAGCGCTTATCCCATAAAGTTGTCTACCTTTGCAGGAATCTCCTTTAAAAATAAATTTCCCTAGATCAATGTATGGATCGCCAATTGTAACATAAGACATTTCTCGAAAATAGCCTAAACGATCAAGATCCGGTTTTGTAGATCCAGTCATATTTGGTTTCTTCTTTTGATCTCGACCGAAACACTGATTCTTTGCTTTACAAATATAGAACAAATGATAAATGTGTACTACTAATTGTATGCATTCACTTTATATAAACGTTATAAACTGAATGAGTAAACCTAACCAGTTGAAATCAAGTATTTAAATCATATCTTATTGGTCAGTTTCACTTCATAAAACAATTCATTAAATATATACATCTATATATCTTGATAATCTATTATTTTGATCCCAGTAAAACAAACAAGTTCCATAAATACTAACATACAACCAGTGAATTATGATGATGCAATTATTTGAACTATGTTTTATAGAAGCAATCTAACAAGTACAATATTGAAGTTATTATAGAAAATTACTTGTTTCTACAAAAATTTGTACTATAAAAAGACCAGTTGATATGGTAACCGCTAAATCGAAATATATTTCACTAATATAACAACAACCTTTTATCTCTTTTTGCTAAGAGTAAATTATTTCGTAAGTAAGCACAATATTGAGTAAAGTTGAGGGATATTTCTTGAATGAGTAAAATAAAATATTTCATATTTTGATTGAATGTGTTTGTAAAGTAACAGAATAGTTACTTCACACATGTAATCTGTTCTTAAAATGACAGATAAAACAAAGAATCTTGACAATTATAGAAGGCTAACACCATTCGTTCTGTAAACAGGAAATAATTCTCTAAAAATAATCAATGCAAACTCAGCTGATAACCGAGAAATTATTTTCAACTTGAATAAAGATATATCTATGAATGTCAATATCATATTTGGCTCAACAGAATGCATACTTTTGTTGAAGAATAGTTTCCCATTCTCCATGATTCAACTATTGATTCATACTCCTAACTCTCGCTAGCAACATTAAACAATGTAAGCAGAAAAAGTATCCAATAGTTTGTATCACTGAAACGTTTTAACTGTAAATTATCATTTGACATGGTTGAGCTTTGAATAAGTTAACTATCTATTGACTAATTATGTAACATATAAACGTGATTGTACTTGCATAAAGTCAAATCAGATAAGCGCAGCACAGAATCTTCGTGCATTTCAGTTGGCAATAAAAATAACCAGCAAACATTTTCATCAATATCAGTTTTATTTACACTCATGGTCTTTTATGTGATGGATTTAGCTAGATACACTAATACTTACTTACTTACGCCTGTTACCCCCAATCGAGCATAGGCCGTCAACCAGTTTTCTCCAACCAACTCTGTCCTGGGCTTCCCTATCCAGTTCTGTCCAATGTTTGTTCATTCCTCTCATATCTTCCTCTATTTCTCGACGTAGTGTGTTCCTTGACCTTCCTCTTTTCCTTTTGCCTTGAGGGTTCCATGTGAGGACATGCCTCGTGACGCAGTTAGGTGCTCTTCGTAGTGTGTGTCCTATCCACTTCCACCGCTTCTTCCTGATTTCCTCCTCCACTGGAATCTGGTTTGTTTTCTCCCACAGTACGTTGTTGCTGATCGTGTCTGGCCAACGAATACGAAGTATTTTGCGTAGAAAACTGTTAATAAATACTTGTATCTTCTGGATGATGCCTTTCGCAGTTCTCCATGTTTCCGCTCCATACAGTAGAACTGTCTTGACATTTGTATTGAAAATCGTGATTTTGGTTTTGGTTGAAAGTTGTTTGGAGTTCCAGATATTTTTTCAACTGTAGAAATGCAGCCCTTGCTTTGCCGATCCGCGCCCTCACATCTGCATCCGATCCACCTTTCTCGTCGATGATGCTGCGCAGATATGTAAAGTTGTTAGCGTCCTCGAAAGCATCTCCATCAAGAGTGATTTGGTTGGTGCATGTTGTGTTGCATCGGAGAATTTTGCTTTTTCCTTTATGTATGTTGAGACCTACTGCTGCTGAGGCTGCTGCTACACTGGTCGTCTTCTCTTGCATTTGTTGTTGAGTGTACGATAGAAGAGCCAGGTCATCTGCTAAGTCCAGATCGTCCAGCTGCGTCCTAACTGTCCAGTTGATACAGTGCTTCCCTCCAGACGTCGACGTCTTCATAATCCAGTCGATCACCAGGACAAAGAGAAAGGGTGAGAGTAAGCAACCTTGCCTGACACCGGTCTTCACCTCAAAAGAGTCTGTCAGCTGACCTCCGTGCACGATTTTGCAGTTGAATCCATCATAAGAATTCCGTATGATGTTAACTATTTTCTCAGGCACACTGTAGTGTCGAAGAAGCCTCCACAGTGTTTTCCTATCCACGCTATCAAATGCTTTCTCGTAGTCGATGAAGTTGATGTAGAGTGGTGAGTTCCATTCAATTGATTGTTCCACAATGATCCGTAATGTTGCAATTTGGTCGGTACACGATCGATCCTTACCACGAAATCCAGCCTGTCGATCTCAAAGTTGGGCGTCTACAAAGTCCTTCATTCTGTTTAACAATACTCTGTTGAAGACTTTGCCTGGTATTGAAAGAAGAGTGATTCCTCTGTAGTTCTCACACTTGCTCAGGTCGCCTTTCTTTGGTATTTTGATTAGGTATCCTTCTTTCCAATCTCATGGTACTTGTTCCTCATCCCAAATCTTCTTGAAGAGAGTGTGGTATATTTTCGCATTTGCTGTTACGTTTGCTTTCATTACCTCTGCTGGAATGTTGTCTGGTCCTGCTGCTTTGCCGCTCTCGATTTGTCTGATGGCCATACTGATCTCCTCAATTGTAGGTGCGCCAATATTAATTGGGAGGTCCGTGGATGCTGCTTCGATGTTGGGTCGGTTCAGTGGAGCTGGTCGATTCAGGAGTTCCTTAAAGTGCTCTACCCACCTATTTCGCTGTTGTTCAGTGTTGCTGATTATTTTCCCTTCCTTGTTTTTCACTGGTCGTTCTGGTTTACGATAGTTCCCGGCGAGCTTCTTTGTAGTTTCATACAATTGTCTCAAGTTTCCGTCTCTTGCAGCCTTTTCCGCCGTCATTGCTAAGTCTTCCACATATTTTCGTTTGTCAGCTCTGATGCTCTTCTTCACTTCAAGGAGCACATAATATAAAAGAATGTTAGACCACCATTCGAAGCCTGGAAGCATTGGATGGCCGTTTCGTCCTGGTATGGGACTCATCAGCATTGCGCATCTACGAATCTTGTTGCTCACAGGATTCGAATCCACGACCTCCGGTCTTGCGCGCGAACGCCTAACCTTCGGACCACTGGGCCGGCATCCAACGGTGTTAATGCCTAACTCTGTTCAACCTAGGGATTTTGCGCTACCTCAATGTGTAAAAGCACTAATCTCCATAACTCTAACTGACAAAAGAATGAGTTCAAATTTACGTAATGATAGGTAGTGAACATGGCAGAAATCCATGAAGTCACTGGCAGCTGGAATGAGTCATGTCGGTAGGTGTCAACTTCTTGGTTCGGGCCCGCGAGATGATAATAATCGATGGTTAGAGACCTCGAATGACGGCTCAAAATCGTTTGCAATAGCGCAGGTGCATTCATTCTGCGTTCTCTCAAATTCTAAAATTTTTAATTCATCACTTTATCTTTTTAAGTTTATTTCACTAGGTTCTACTTCTTTAATGATATCTTCTAACAATAATCTCTCCGATTACTGCTAATACCTTGACTAATTCTACTAGTATGGGATTTGAATTGACAAGTACTTCTCTTTGCTAATGTGGTAAGACAACATGAATTGATGTACGTGCATACGAAGTTCTACGTTGCTATTGATTGATTGATTGACAGCTATACAGTATAAAATTTAAACCGCGAACATAGATTTCAGTTGTTTTGTAAACAGTGACCAGAAGACTTCCATTTCCTTACATAGAATAATAAGTAGCCGATCGTTTTGATCCACTCTTATTTTCATGAAGATATAATGGGAACATAGGAAGTATTGGAATTTAGATGACAAGTCACCATCCCCTCGGTTCAACAATGCGATGAACAGTCCATTCTCATTGAGTAAACTTAGACTGACTATAAATGTACGACAGGGTTTCCCTACATCGGTTATCTCATAAGATTCCAAAATGATGGAAATTTCCAGGTGGGCTAAATTGCTTGGTTAGGTCACAAACTACCCACTCCTCTTTTGTACTACATTACTGACACTTAACTCAAGTTGGCTTCTACTTGAAATTCAAAGAATGTAGCATCAGCAAAAAGTCTTTAGATTTTTTTGTCTACTTATTCCGACTTCATTATGTAAACTAACAAAGCAACGATAGCTAGCGTCCCCAAATGCCATGGTAGGTCGACAGTGAGGAAAGTCCGCTCTCTTTCCGAGCGCTCTCATATCGCTATGAGTATACAACCGTTGCCAGAAAAGTCTTGCTCACTGCCTTCTCATGACTGGGGATGCTGTTTATAAAATTGAGAGGATGAAAAGTGAGTATCTGGTCAGGATTTAAACTGCGTATGTGGGTATTTAGGGTCCACCTACAGTAGTTGAAAAACCTTCATTTTAAACTAATAGTGCACATAGGCCCCAAAATCCGAATGAAATAAGTGGCGTATGAACCTATAATAAGGTCACCAGCTACTACAGAACAGAATCTCCCACAGTTGTTTCATTGCTTTGTGGATCAGTCTTTTGGATCAAAGGCTCGAGCAGTAACGACGTAATAAACCACCTGATACGGTCCTAGCAACCGGGTATTGTTCCAGCCCACCCACAAATTCAATAGTTTGTGTAGCGCTCCTTTGTACCAATGCTAAGGTATTTAAATAAATAAGTAAAACAACTGGTAATATAAAGTATTTAATCAAACTGTAAAAAAAAATCTACGAAGGAAAATTAAGTTTGGTTGGGTTTTTTATTTCATAAAATCTGTCTATATTACATTTTTTTTCCTTGTTTCCCGTATATTCTTTTAGCTGTGAATAAGTGTTTTAAAACAATATTTCATTTTGTACATTCAATCATCTGTTGTAACTGATTCCAAAATTTTCGGCAACTTTAATCGATTACATACAGAAATAAGACAAGCTTTCGTTTCAGAATCTCCATCATTCAAACAACAATTTGTAAAAGCTTCACGAAATCCAAGTTGATCATCATTTTCTAAATTTTTTAACCATTGTAATTCGCCTGTAGTTAACGGTGCTATGCTGAAATCATCCATTGTCTATTGATAATAAAAATAAATTTGTAAATGAAGTCAAAAATACCCAAGTTTATGATTAAATAGTGAGATTTATACACGAGAAAAAGATTAACTTGTTTGTGTATTGTATGGTCATATCTAACTGTTTTTGTGAACTGAATTTAAATGAGATGATATAAAAGCCAATATCGGTAGTGGTTCAGGGAACCCGATTAATTTTTTGAGCAGGTAATTGAAAAATATGAATAATTATACGCACAAATTTCAAAAATACAAAATACCAAACTGGAGTGCAAGCTGGTGGAGCATGCAAATGACTGATGCTTGTTAAGGTGCGAACACTGGGAAGACCAGAAGAGAAATCGGACTAGTATTGGAATGCGTAAACGACCATTCTACCGGTACCTCAGAAGTTTGAGAAGTAAAGCAATCTGATATTTGTAATGTAGGAATAAGTTGGAAGAAAGCTAGGTGCGGCCAGACCAAAACATGGAAAAAATCCATAAAGTTACTGACAAGTGGACTGAGTCATGTTGGTAGGTGTCGACTAACTGGTTGAGGACCGCGAGATGATAGTAAGCGATGGTTAGAGACCCTGAATGATATGGTTCCAAACCGTTTGCAATGGCGCAAGTGCATTCATTCTTTGTCTTCTGTTTAGTCCTAACCTTCGGAGTTCCTCGTCACCTTTATATTTTTATTTTTATGTTTATTTCACTAGATTCTAATTCTCGAATAATATCGTTGTTAGGATATTCATCAAATATCCTAATAGAATTATTTTTGTAAGTCTAATTCTATTGGTCGATTCCTACTGGTCAATATTATGGTCGTCCTAGCGACTAATGTCACGTACTTCAATGTTGTTTCCCATTGGTCGTCCCAACTGTCAATGTCACAGACTCCAATGTTGTTTCCTATTCGACCTAGCTGTATAAATACGCATTATCCGCAATGTTTTATGACCCGGACCCGGATCCTCAGTCCGGGATCATTGCCTTCTTCTGGACTTGGACCTCGTACTTTCTGGATGCTTGCAGAATACAGGTACTACTTCATATCACGTCTTCATCTTTTACTCAATGGGGTTTGGGACGTTCGGATTAGAGTAGCCTGTCGCGTCGACGGATCCTCGATCCTCGCTCTGGTTTTCCGACTAAGGTAAACTCGTAATAATTCAAGCATATCAAATGACGTATTTACGTGCATTCATAACAATAATCGAACCCTAAAATTTCCGATTACTGGTAATACTTCTACTATCTCCAGTACTATGGGATTTGAAGTGACAATTCGATCTCTATGTGCTAATGTAATATGGCAACCTGAACTGATGTACGTACGTACGAAGTTTTACGTTGTAACTGACTGACTGACTATTTGTGATCAATCCTATATTGTTGGGAAAGTGGCACTATTGAAGTTTATAGCTACAAGTGGAAAAAGCTCTACTGTTACCACAATCTACTAATCAGCAGTACTACTTTGTTTCAGTCAATAAAGTCCGCCTGAATAGTCATGAAAGGCAAGAGTGATCACTGCGTTTGGTCACTGGACGAAATTTAAAAAGACAAGGAACAATAATTCTAGTATGGTTTACACCATTTTGGACAGTGATACTAGTTACAAAGACTATAAAACGAATTATGACGCACACTGAACGCCTGAGTGAGTTACATAAGTACAAAGTAGAGTTATGAAGTTCAAGGATACAAACAGGAAACCAACTCCTTTCAGTACCAAAAGAAAAACGCTTAAATTTCGCATTATTTACACGAATTACTTACGCATTAAGCTAGATTTTCTATTCTAACTGATTATTATTATTATTATTATCAACTTAATTTACTATTTAAAATTAAGATGGTATCATTAATTTAAGATCAAAGAAAAAACAGTGAATTAAATATTTTTTTTATCTTACTTCTAAACTTGAACTGATTGATTTGATAATGTCTTTAAATAGTACATTTAAATCGGCCAAAATTCCACGAACTAAAGGTAATTCGGATTTTTGTTTTTGACAACCACAAGCGATATGTATTAAAGAAGGAAGAATATGTGGATCTAAAAGGTATGAATAATAAATAAATACTGGTAGGAGGAAACTAATTTTTCTCGAATTCAGCTTTAATTTCCTAGACAATAATAGTTAGTTGTAAGTATAGAGTGGATCGGTTTATAAACTAACAAACATTACACTATGTATACAAGTTGAGAGAAAGTACACGCCATAAAAGTTTATTTACCGGATAAATAACAACACATAGCATCCATGCATGGTAAGCTAGCTATGACGACATCTATTACCGGAATGATAGCTCTTAAACTATTGTAGTATGTGACAAAGTGAATCACATGAGGTGCATCTTCACAAACTTTACGCAAGTAAACACCAAATGTAGGCAGGACTTCTGGAAATGAGTTAACTGAAAAGAAAAATAACAAACAAAAAAAAACACATTTTTAGATTTTAGTTCGAATACAATGAATAAGGAATAGTAAAATAAAAAAGACCCAAGTCAAGTAAAAGAAAAATCTAACAATTGTAGCCTAAATTGTTTGTAATTGCAAGCTATATTCCTGAAAGTTATAGAAAAGGGAAAAAATCTTTTTTTTTATGTGAACGTTTGGGCTGAATATATTTCGTACTGAATGATATATGCATAAAAATAATAAAAACGAAATACATCTGATTGTGTGGTATCTCATATACACTACATACAATGTAATCCTATTCATTTGAAAATACGTTGAATAATCAAAACAGTAAATAAACATATAAGAATATTTAATTTTTAGCAAAAGATAAAAAATGTTCAGAGTTGAACAATGCATTAATTTTATGTCACTTCAACTAGTTGTCAAGAAGCATTTTATTATTTGTGATCTATGCGACAAAAATAACAAAGGACAAATCGATGTATGCATTAGAAGACATAAAAAGCCTGAAAACTTCCTAAAGTGGCACTACAAAAATCGTAGGTTGATTCGCAAATCATAGGAAACAGGTACTAGGTAAGAATAGCAAGCCAACAGATGAAGTGGTATATCTTTATCAGTTGAAGTGGTTGGGACATGCGTTACGTATACCCGACGACCGACTGCCTCGACGAGAGATGTTTTGTGATGTAGGGGTAGGCTGGAAGAAAGCCAGAAGCTGACAAACCAAAACATGGCACAAACCCATGAAGTCACCGACAATTGGATTGAGCCATGTTATTGAAGTATGGACCGACTACCTGATTGGGGACCGAGAGACAGTAGTAACCGATGATTAGAGACTTAGAACATCAGTCTGTCAGCTACAACGTACAACTTGGTACATACGTTCACCAGTTCAAGTTACCATGCTACATTAGCACAAAAAGATCAGATTGTCAATTCAAATCCCATAGCAGTAGAGGAAGTAGAAATTTCAGCGGTAATCAAAAAAATTAGTGATCGAAGATATCATTCAAAAATTTTATCCCAGATGAATCAATCTGAAAATATAAAAAAGGGAGAGGAAATACAGGTTATCGGGAATTCAGAAAATTAAAGTTTGAGCAAAGACAAGAATGGATTCTTCTGCGCCATAGCAGACGATTTTGAGCCAAGTGATTGAGACACTGAATGGCATGGCACCGTTTACAATGGCGCAGATGCATCGATTCTTTATGGGCTCTCAAATTCTAGTCTTCTGAATTCCTCATGACCTTTTTGTTAAATGTACTTCACTGGATTATACTTCTAGAACCCTAATCATCCCCATCAATTTTAATACTTCTACTATTTATACTACAAATGTGGTATAGCAACTTGAACATACGTACGTACGAAGTTCTACGTTGCAGCTGACTGACTGACTCGCACATGGATTCATGGCTTGCATTTAAGCGAAGTGTATTTTCGAACTGATTATTTTGAATATATTGGTTGAAATATGTTTACTGAACTGATCTTTGGTTAGACGTTGTCAGATTATGCACACCCGACCGTATCTTCTACCTTGACGTGGTGGTCGGGCTTGTGTATCGTGATGATCCAACCGAGCTATACTGGCTGGAACATATGTTCCTGAAGGTTTTACCGTGCCAGGCTGGTCGATTGGAGAACGATGAGACTATAACCAGCACTCAAGGTCTGAGGGCGAAGTCGTACTGCTGACTGCAGAGGGCTGTGACAGCAGTAAGGTGTTTCCCTCGGACAACCAGCATCTGCAGCGATGCTGCCTTCTCACAAGGAAGGAAGGGTTAGAAAAGGTCGACCCTAAAAATGTCACACCTCACCCTAACTCACGGATTTCCGTCTCCGTCGGTATGGGTGCCCACTAAGGGCTTTCAAGAGCAGAGCTAATACTGAAAAAACCTTTCATCAAAATGCCGTGCGTGACCGGCCTCAAACAGTTGTCCCTTGGGCTCTGCGGTCACGCTCCCAGGTCTCTAAGACCAACAATAATCTATCTTCATTTTCAGGTCCCTCAAGAAACAACCTTCCACAGTGTGGGCAGCCGGGAAGTGACAACCGCCCTCATACCCGTAACAGCACACGAGACCGAATCAGTCATAATCAAATCCTTCCTACACCCCCTAATACCTCTCTTATCTACATGACCAACTCTCCTCAAATTCCTTTATCACACTGCACAGCTAACGCAAACGATGCGAGTCCACGAAACGTCATTCCTGGTCTCCTAAACACTCATTCTAAATTACATGTTGGAGCATTTAATGCACGAGCATTGTGTCAAATAGGACAGCAGGCCTCAGTAGCTAAGACTTTAGAATCTCATGCCATCGATGTATTTTGCGTCTCGGAGACGCGCATGCAGGAGCCTAGAAAAGTTATTAACTTGATTTTCGCTTGTCAAAATCAAGAAGCAACTCGATTTACCCTTCATGTATCCGGTAGCCCTGGAGCTGCTTCCAGGGGCCTCGCTGGTGTAGGTATAGCATTGAGTCGTAGGGCTGAACTACCTATCTTTGACTGGATCCCAGTAGAGAGTCGCTTGTGCGCTGTCCGACTAAACGGGACAGTAAGGACTCGGAAAGATAGGGACACTCGTCGTTGCCTCTTCGTCGTATCTGCCTATGCCCCCACTGACTGCAGTTCAGACGAGGTGAAAGATGAGTTTTACAACAACCTTTCGGACCTCCTCCAAAAAGTTAGGCGCTCTGATGTAGTAATAATGGCTGGTGACTTTAATGCTCAGGTAGGTAGACTAAGTGAGCAGGAGAGACACCTAGGTGGATGTTATGGTGTCGCGGCTCGGAGAACAGACAATGGTGACCGTCTGATGCAAGTACGCTCAGATAACCAACTATTTCTAGCAAACACTAACTTTAGGCATAAGGAAAAGCATCTCTTGACCTGGTGACCCAACTAGATCACATCACCATCAACCACCGATGGAGGGGTTCGATAGAGGACTGTCGCTCATTGTTTAGATTCAGATCATGCCCTAGTGCGAGCGCGTATTTGTTTGAGGCTTACTGGACGTAGGAAAGACACCGTAAGAAAGCCTCTTAAGGTTTTACCTAATGATAATAAGGCGAAGAATATATTTCAGGAACAACTAGAAAGACAGTTAGGAGACCATTTAAGCGATTCCCATCCGGAGGCAGATTGGAATGATATCAAAAAAGCTGTGGAACTAGCAGCGATATCTGTTAGCAAAGTAAACCACATGTCTAGGAAGAAGGCCTGGATCTCAGTAGCATCTACCGGACTGATGGATGCTCTGAGTACGATGAGGAGCGGAGTCAGCTTAGGCACAAACTGATAAAAAGCCTACGCAATGATCAAGAACAGTGGTGGGTAGTGAAAGCGAGAGAGATGGAAAAAGCAGCGGCGATAGGCAACAGTAGACAACTTTTCCGACTTATCAAGGAAACTGGTATTAGAAACCCGAATGTGAGTGAGACTATTTCTGAGAAAGATGGTCTTATTATCCAATCTCTATCCAGGAGACTGGACCGATGGGTAGAACACTTTAGAAATCAGTTAAACTGGCCTCCAGCCACACTTCGGTTACCCACGATTCCCAGTCATCCTTAATGGCAAATCCACGTAAGTCCCTCGACTCTTTATGAAGTTTAGAAAGCGATAGGAAATCTGAAGCGAGGGAGAGCAGCGGGTCCCGATAGACTGACCCCTGAGATATTTAAGGATGGTGGTCCAGTTTTAGCAACTAGGTTGACTGAGATCTTAGGTAGAATCTGGGAACTGGACGTAATCCCATCTGACTGGTCTCAATCACTGATTGTCCCAATTTATAAGAAAGGACACAAGTCTTCTTTTGACAATCACAAGGGAATCAGTCTAACTAATATAGTGTCCAAATCGTTAGCCTCAGTTATCCTTAGACGCCTAACTAGAGCTCGTGAAGAGAAAACTAGAGCAAATCAGGCTGGTTTTATATCTGGACGTGGCTGTATAGACCACATATTTACACTACGACAGGTCCTGGAACACAGACACACATTTAGGCGTCCTACAATAGTTGTTCTCCTAGACTTAAAGTCGGCATTTGACTCTGTGGCAGTGTCTGTCTGTCATTGAAATGTGTACCGAAGAAGTACATTAACCTTATACAAGCTCTCTACTCGAACACCACTGGTCGAACGAGAGCTTATGGCGAACTGTCAACGGAATTCTTTACTTTAAATGGTGTCCGTCAGGGATGTCTACTTTCTCCATTCTTGTCTACTTTTATCATAGACATGCTTCTAGATATAACCTTATCCTCGTCTGAATTTTCAGGAGTGGACCATCTACCAGGAGGATCGCTGATTGACCTAGAATATGCCGATGACATTGACCTACTTAGTGAAGACGCTGACAAAATGCAGAGTATTCCGACTACTCTAAGCAACAATGCAAGCATGTTCGGAATGCGGTTTTACCCCTCGAAATGCAAAATGTCGCTTTAAGGCTGGGTTGCGTCGGCACCTGAACAAGTGATAGGGAGTGTAGTCGAGCGTGTAGACCGCTCCACTTATCTGCAGTCTCATCAATGCTGATGGCCTGGTGACTAACGAAACCTCGGCAAGGATACAGAAGGCTCGATTGGCTTTTGCCAACCTGCGTCACTTATGGAGTAGGCGAGATATCCGTTTGCTGACTAAACGACGAGTCTACTGCGCAGTAGTTCGCTCCGTCCTAATATATGGCTGTGAAACATGGCCAGTCAGAGTAGAAGATATTCGTAGGTTACTAGTATTCGATCATAGATGTCTTAGAAGCATTGCTCGTCTATCCTGGGACAACTCAGTAAACAATGCTGTCGTTAGAAAACGAGTTCTAGGTATGGATGGCAAATCAATAGATTTAAACTTTATCAGATGGGGTGGTTGGGACATGTGTTACGTATGGCTAACCACCGACTGCCGCGACGAGCTATGTTTTGTGGTGTAGGAGTAGGTTGGACGAAAGCTAGGGGCGGCCAGACCAAAACATAGTAAAAATCCATGAAGTCACTGACAAGTGGACTGAGTTATGTCGGTAGGTGTCGACTACCTGGTCGGGGTCCACGAGATGGTTAGAGACCCTGAATGACATGGCTCAAAACCTATTGCAATGGCGTAGATGCATTTATTAAATGTGTTCTCTCAAATCATAAACTTTTTAATTCATCATCGCTTTATCTTTCTAAGTCTGTTTCACTAGATTCTACTTCTTGAATACTATCTTCTAATGCTAACCTATCCAACTACTGCTAATACCTTTCTACCTCTACTACTATTGAATTTGAATTGACAATTACATCTCTGTGCTAATGTGGTAAGGTGACATGAACTGATGTACTTACGGACGGAGTTCTACGTTGCGATTGATTGATTGAATATGCACAATAAAACTTCCACAACAAACTACATTCGCCCCGCTAACGCCAGTTAGGATCAAACAGTTTGAATAAGATATAAAGGACGGTGACTAGATAGTGAGATGAATTCATCTTATTCCAGACTTTTGCGTCAGCCCAAATTGTCTCGATTTATCATTAGCGTTAAGATCATAAATGAGAAAGGGAACTTAAATGTTATTAAAAAAACTGTGGTCAAATAAGCTAAAACACCACAATTCTTTCGTGACTCAGCATTTTGAAATTTACACAGCATATGAAGTTGCTAACCATGGTTGAAATCGATATTTATCAATATAAGTAGTGAGAAATGAAAGTTTACTTAGCAGCTGGAGGAAATTAAAGTTAATGATGAACAGAGTATGAGAACAAACATAGAAATAAGAATCAAGCGAACTTTACGAGCCGAAATAAGCTGAACACTATGATAACATTAGACGAATAAATTATGTTTAAAAGAGCCGAAAGTTTGTAAATAATTCCTAGTATACATCAATTAGGTTCGGAATACTTGATAAGTCTTACAAGTTCAAAAAAATTTAAGTTCGTCTTTCAAGTTTCTTTCACAAAGAGACAAGATATGTAATACCAGAGACTCTTTAAGAGCATCGGATAGCTACCGAATTCGAATTTTAACTAATTTCTGGACATGAGTTGCGTTTAAGGCTTTTTTAGCTGGTCATCAAAACTAAATACTTCTACAGTTGTACATCAGATATCTTAAAAACTTGACTGATGTTGGTAAATTTTTTATACAGCACAATCCAGGATGTTGTCAAAGGATATAAAGAATGAAATATACACATGTACGTAATTCAAGATTTATTTGAAAGTGATACTCACTAGAAAGTACTAACACTTTCATCTCTAAGTAATGAGAACTAGTTACTAAGCCCAAACACCCACAATGTTAATCATAACAATTCATCATACTATTTAAGTCAATAACTGTATCTGGAGTCAAAGTATTCCTATGATCTGCAATAAGGAGGCGTGATATTTCCAGCATATAACGAACGGAACAAACGAAGAAGTTTTCGACTCACATAACAGGCCGTTTATTTAATAGTATGAATATCATAAGCGCAATGAGTCGATCGTAAAAATACCGGTTGCGTAACAAAATCCACTGAAGTCCTTGATGTTCCTCCATCTAAATAAATCATAGCTGACAGATATTTAACGGTGTTGAGACTTTGTACAGAACAACTGGAAATCCCTGTGGGTGAATTACGGACGGAAAAGGGTTACTCTTTACCAGCTAACAGATATCACATGCTTACATACTATTAAGATATGCAATCAACATAGATTTATGTCAACCTGCTAAATATAAAACCTAAGAGTGAACGACTTTACTGAGTTTCCGCCCAAATAAGTACACTAACCTAGAGCTGACACGCCATTTACATTAGAAGAAAACGTATAAAGCAGACGATGTATGATTTCGACTTCACTGCCATGGAGCCACCTGAAAGAAAATAATTGACTGAAAAATATAAAAAGTTACTTCATTTGGTGCTGAGCTATCAATATTGCCGTAAGAAGTTGTTCGCCACACCAAACCTCAGCCAAACTATCATCTTCTCTGGTAATGACATCGATAAGACGTACTGTACCTATTAAAAGTGTGGCTATCAGAAGTTCGGACAATATATCTACAAAAGTGTACCATTAGTCGAGCTTTTCAGAATAAAAAGCACATTCTCGAAAAACTCTGGTTGGAATCGAATCTCATTTAGCCAAGGCGTTCTATATTCATCAGAGGCAAGAACAGTTTGAATCAATCTTAGGGATATGTAGCAAGAAGACATAAACTAACCTGCATGTTTCAATCAGTGCGGGTGTATCCCTTGAGTAAAGTAGATTTATAACACGGACACTACTCCAGATTAAATACCATAAACTTAAAGACGTACATGAACGATTCACTTTCGCTCATTTTACGGCAGGCAACGGGGTCATATGCTAGATTCCCCAAAATCCCCACTATAATTTCCTTCATCAATAAGTTTTTACATAAACATGCTAACTCACCAGTAATCTGGGGTTTTGTACATTCCCCAAAGCATTATTAAATATTGAGACGATTTCAAATTCATCGAGATATTTAAGGACATCACGATTGACTGTAAGATCCCATAGGCAACAAAGTTGCTCTTCTAGTTCTGTATCTAACTCCTTACAAGAAGGATCTTCGTCAGAATTCATCCAAGTTGCAGATGTTTCACTATTAACCTTTTCCAGAAATTTAATTAGCAACGAGAAAAGCCAACGTCTGCTATATATTGTATCACCTATCATATCAACTTGTTTGGCACTGTCGTCATAGTCCGGAGGTGGAGACGGATTGCGAGTGGACATATTATCTTTCAAAAGGAGTCAGATAAGATTATACTAAGATTGGATATCAAAAACTACAAAAGTCAACGTAGCGCACAACTCGAAAAGCCGCTCTGCACAGACTTAGATATATGGGTTTCGATCATATAGAATATCTAATTTATTCTCAGTGTCTTTATCTCGAGCTAGTATGTAATGATTGATTTTCTGACATCACTTCTTGTTATCCTAATAATCGATAATTACTTGTAGGAAGTAGTTAGGTCACCCGACTTGATTTCTAATCTGAACAGCAGGAGTCTAACAGGGGATCACTCTTCCTACTACTGATTAGTTACTTATCATCTAACTAATCTGTGCACGGGACGAAAAGATATCCGGATCCATAAGGAGCGAGGGAAATTTAGTTGGTCTCCTAATCGACCTTAGTTTAATAGAGGTGTGGGCATTAGACCACGGGTTAAACCTTCCCCAGGGTTAAAAATAAATCTTATGAAAACAAACTTTAGCGCTCAGTGTTATTCTCACTGAGTTACGGGAGAATCAGAGATGAGTTAATAACGGTATACAACTTATTAAGTACGCCGAACAGATCCATCACTCAGTCAGTCTTTTTGTGTTATACGACAGTTCATCACCACCAGGCTCCGATGTAACCCTTGAGATATTATACTTCATCAAGCAACCAACCAGGTACGCGCTCGCTTTTTCTCATTTCCAGTTGTCCTTACTTAGAATACTTCCCCGAGTGAAATGACTACGGTCCTTGCAGTGGATATCTTCAATAGAAATCTTGACAAAAACGTATTCTTATTCAGATTATCATCTCCCTCTTGAACCGGATGTGTCCGATGAGTGCATTGCAACTTGCTTCTTATTATCGTTATCCTTTCTTCAGATCACAAATTTATTCTATCTCCTCTGTTATCATCCCTGCCTCCTCTTTTATTCTCACAACTTGGTGTTCTCACACTTTCCCCATTACTAAAGAAATAACCCATTTAATAATTTAATTAGTTATGAAATTTTCTTCTTCATTGCATTAGAATTTTAGCCTTATTATTCTTTACACTGCCAGCAGCTAATATTTGGCCTGGCAATGTGATAGATGCTGGTATAACTGAACCCCACTACCCTGATACAATCAAACTTACTAAAATCACGCGCAATACGTACTGATGAAATTCCGTCAACTAACTAGAATTTTTCCTTCGATTTTATTCCTAACCGTTGCTGAAAAGCTTTTGTCACAAGACTACTCAGTCATGTGTTTATTTTTTTATTTGATATTCATGTCTAAACATGTGCATAAGAGCATTTTGTCACTAAATTTTTATTTTTGGACTTACTGTTGCTTGCGATATTAAGAAATATAGGAGTTGCAATAAACTTTCCAGGATCTTTGAGATCTCAACAGAACAGTATCATCTTAAGTGTTATTTTGCACCCAAGACTAAATATCATCAGCTGTATATGATATTTTATTACTATGCATGTTTAATTAGATGCACATCAGCAGTTTGTAGATTATACCTTTAGCATTTGAACTTTGACGGTCTGTCTGATTTTTTGTCTAATCGAACCGTTGCTTCACCCTTGACATGGTGATCGGGTTTACCCACCGCGATGATCTAACCAAGCTATTCCTCCAGATCGTCTCAAACAAGGCAAGTTCATTGTAGTTCGTTAAGTCTAGAAGCTGCAGCATGGTATTTCCCTCGAAAAACTAGCATCTGTAAAGATGCTGCCTTCTCACAAGGAAAGAAAGGGTTACAAAAAGCCGATCCTAAATGTCGTACCTCAACTTCTCCCGGGGATTTCCATATCCGGCGGTAAGGTCTTCTCAGTAGCGGAGTCAACATATTGAAAACTTGCTAAAAAAGGCCATGCGTGACTGGCCTCAAACAGCTGTTACTTGGGCTGAGCACTCTGATGTAGTAGTACTGGCTGATGATTTTAATGTTATGGTTTTAATATGACCGCTAAAGAGACTATCTCGGAAAAAGATGCATTTCCATTCATTCCCAATCCATGAGACTGGATCGATGGGCAGAACACATAAGGGTTCTGTTCGTATGGTCTTCAGGTGCACCTCAGTTACCCACGGTCTCCAGCCGACCAGAAAGGCAAGTTGATGTGAGCGCTCCGACTCTAACCGAAGTTGAAAAAGCTACAGGGAATTTGTAGCTAGAGAGGACCGTGGGCCCTTATAGGCTAACCCTGTCATTTTTGAGGATAGTGGATCAGTTTCAGTAGTCAGATTGAATGATATTGTGGGTAGAATCTGGTAACTAAGCATAACCACACCTAACTGGTCTCAGTAACTCATTGTCTCTATCTCTAAGAAAAAACAATATTCCTCTTACGACACTCACAGAAGAATCAGTTTAACTAGTAAAGTGTCTAAAACATGGGACTCAATAATGCCCAGACGCCTAACTGGAGCTTGTGAAGAGCATGCTCCAGGAAACCAGGCTGGTTTCCAACCTTTGAGATGGTGGAGAAAACTTGTAGCTCAGGTGGATGATTGTGGTGGTGTTTCGTTCTCTGAGCTGGTTGTTTTGGTTGTGGAGCTTTCATTGTTCTTCTGAACAACATCATCAGCACGAACTTCAGATAGAAGTGAAGCATTAGAATTTCTCCACGTTTGATCTGTAGCTTGTTCTGCTAACCTCGATCTTGATTGGTTGTTGTTCACCTTTGACCTGTCGTTGTTTGCAACTGTGTTTTGATTGCCTCCCTCTTTTGATCTGTTTCTTGATCCAGTGTCACCTATGATTTTCCTGATTGGTTGATAAACTGGATCAATATCGATGTTTCCGACCCGGCTGTAATCACAGTAAGTCAGGTCCTAGAACATAGACACACATTTAAGAGTCTGACAATGTTTGGCTTGCTAGACTTCAAAGCGGCACTTGACTCGGTCGATCGTGAGGCTTTATGGTAGTATGTTACTAAAAGGTGTACCAAAGCAGTATTTAAGACTTATGCAGACTCTACTCGAAAGCTACTGGTAGATTCAGAGCTTATGGTGAACTGTCATTGAAACTGGTTCTTTAAAGTGGTGTTTGTAAGGGATGTTCACTTTCCCCATCCTTATTTAACTTTATAAATGACATGCTTTTAGATGTGATAATTCCATCATCCGACTTATTAGGAATTGATTTCTATCAGGAGACTCGCTTCTTGACTTGGAATATGCCGGCAACATAGTCCTATTCGGTGAAGACGCTGACAAAATGAAGTCTCTTAACCATCTTAAGCAAAAACACAAGCACGCACGAGGTCCGATCATCCTTCACGACACCTGCACTAGTGGTGGTCTGGTGTGACGAAATCTCAGGCACTGATATAGAAGGCTCGAGTAGCTTTAGCGAACTTGCGTCATTTATGGCTTATGTAATATATCTGTCTACTAATCACCGGATGAGCTTAAAGTGCAGCAGTTTGCTCCGTCCTACTACTCGGGTGTGAAAATTTGCCAGAAAGAATAGATAATATTCATGGCTTACTAATATTCGATCATAGGTATTTTCGAAGCCTTGCTTGTGTATCCTGAGACAACCGCGTAAGCAGTGCTAATTTTAGGGAAACGGTACTGAATGAAGATGCCAAATCGATTGGTGACTTAGATTCGACTAGCGACTTTTGTGATGCAGGGGTAGGTTAGGAGAATGCCGGCGGCGGACAAACCGAAACATGGCACGAATCCATGAAGTCACTGGCGACTGGACTGATCCATGTTGATAAGTATGGACCAAATACTTGGATGAGGTCCACGTGAAAGTTGTGACGGGTGAATAGGAACTTCAAAGATATATTGCATAGAATAATTGCACTTTCTGACTCTATGTTTTTTCTATGGTCAAATATAACAAACACACTTGGTCTTCGCACGCCACCGTTGTCCTTCTACTATCGTCGCCAAAACGTAGGCAGTAATAAATATGATAACCAACTGATCGTATACTGCACCCAGGTTTAGCGGTTAAACCATCACGTTGTGCAGGCCGCAAATGAGAGTTCATCTTCGCGTTATATCCTTCTGTGTGAAATGATGCAAACCATCAGAAGTCATCAAAGAATTTAAATTGGTAAAATAACCTACTGAATTTCAAATCAAGAACGATTGCTCATCCTTATACCTTGGTTTTATAGTTCTTCAGCCTTATTATGATCGACATATACTCCACGAAATAGAATTTCATATGTCACTCCAGTAACTGTGTGTTTAACCGAACAGCTGTTCAAAACTTTATCTAGCTTTTGGCATAGCCAGTAAATGGATCCATCAAAGCCTGTTTCTCAGTTGCTGTCTACATTTTTTATCTACAATAGCGCACTATAAGCAATAAACACTTACTATCATCCCTGACCTTTGATGCAACGCGGGTTTGGAATTGCAGTATAAACTACCAAAGCGCCGTCCGCTATCCGTTGAGGTAGCTGAGTTCAAACTCAGATAGCTCCAAATCTTCTAAAACAAGTGAAAATCTTTTCGATTTCTTTCGAGTGTTTCGGGATTATGTGTCCTGCATTAACTAGGGCATTAAATCTTTTCTCATATGGTATCAGAAACAAAATGAAGATCATCAATAGTACCCCTACTTAAGTCCGAACCATGAAACATAAAGATATTTAAACACACCTGGTTTAAACTAATGGGATTCGTTGTCCAACTCCACTCAATCGCAATTCACTGATTTCAAGCCCGACGCCCCATGACATGCGGTTTGCACCAAGCAGTCAGTAAAATAAGTTCAGGCACTTGCAGCAGTATGCCACAATAAGCAACGCAAAGCCACTCCCTACATAATTAATATGTTCATTCGCACATGTAATTTTCAAAGGTATTAGAGAGCGAACGCCCAAGTTTGTGCACATTTTTCCTCATTATTGATCGTTTCAACTTAGAATGTTCTCCCGGCGTAGTTGGCCACAGCCTCCTCAGCGGATATCTTAAAGAATAAACTTGATAAACATGTACTCACATATGGATTATCGTTTCGTCATGGACCAGCTATGCCTGATGCGTGTCTTGGGACCTGCTAGTTGTTATGATTGCCATCTCCTTAGACCACTAAGTTAATCTGTCTGGCCTACTACCTCTGTCTCCATTCCCTTTCTTACATTTCAGTCCTCTCGCCCAATCTTCAGTGTCAATTTGTAAACTAGATTATCCATTTATTTACGTATTTCTGAAATCTTATTAGCATTAGGCCTTTCTCTTTATTATTTTCCACACTGCAACCAAGTGATCCTCAGACTGGTGTCGTAAGAGCTGTTGGTACAAGTGGTTATACTCTTATCCATTGGACGCAACCAAATACCCAGGGCCGTAACGAAAGAACGAGAATCGATAGCAAAAATGATTTGTTTTATACTACATCATGAAAACATGTTGGATATTGTATATTGGAAGTTCAAAGTTTAATATGGGTGCTACAAACAGCATATGTGTAACGGAGTCAAAATCACCATGTATGATGTTGCTAACCCGTTCTACTTCCTTTCTATTTCGGGGTAAGGAAAAACATTCGTATAATATCTTCCAGTTTTAAAGTAGAGAGTTGCTTGTTGAGAAACCGTATTCTGCTACTTTCTTCACCGCCTCATCACTCAAAAACGATATGAGGTATTCAAAATGTCCTGAAACAGGCACTTGACGCATATATGCTTCTACCCTAAATTTCAAAACAGCCTAATCCGACGAAGTTCCTAAGAGTGGTGGCTGACGAGGGCCAGTGCTGGTTGTTGCCTTGGTTGGCAGCACCGGGGGTTCGTCTGAGTTTGCTTTGAGTTTTTTAGTAGTCACCTCCATCACCAATTGTAACACGTGTAACCAGGCGAGGTGTTAGTCGTGGGCGGTCAGACTGGATCTGGAACAGTCTACCAGCATATAACAACGACCGCGGTCGTCAGACGGAATGTATCTATTGTAGGAGGTTTGGAAGAAACGCGTGGAGATGTGGCCACAATCGAATCCGTAATCCAGGTGAGCCATGCCGTTATTATTTATCTTGTCATGTTAATCACATTGGCCCTATCACCCTAAAAGGTATAGTGCAAGGAGTAGTGACTGAAATACTGTTAGACACTGGAGCGTCCGTATTCCTCATCAAGGAGGAGTTCCTAAAGAGACTGAACCATAGGGTCCAGTAAAAACAATGCTCCTCTGCGTTGATAACAGCTGGTGGGGAACCCCTTAAAGTGTTTTATATGACAGTATTAGACTTTAGGATAGAGAAGTATTCGGTTCGTCATTAGTTCTTAGTTTGCCCTGTATTAACCTGATACATGATACTGGGCGTGGATTTTATGTTAAAACACCAAGTCTCCATATAAATGGATAGGGCAGAAGCAGAAATAGGTGAGGCTACGGTACACCTACACCAGTATGAAGAGGCAACTAAGCCTGTAGCCCACGTGGGAATTTCAGAGCTTGTACGTCAGGTACAAAGCAACCACATGATAAAGGAAAATGGTCGTCGTGCAACGATTGCTGTGCTCCAACAGTTTAGTTCTGTGTTTGAGGAAAGTGTTTCTGAAAATCGTACGAATACAGTTCAGCACTCTATTCTTACAGGGGACCATATGCCCCTCCGGCAGCCGCCTCGCAGAGTACCCCAACCCTCATTAGGAGAGGGGGTGGTGTAACGGAGTCAAAATCACCATGTATGATGTTGCTAACCCGTTCTGTTTTCTTTCTATTTCAGGGCGATCAAACATAAACGCTTTGGAAGCTGAAGAACAAGCCCTGAGTGCTCTGAACTTACAGGATGACTCATAAGACTTTGGTACACTAGCCACCCTTTTCTGTACAAACCCCGCGTATTTTAATTTTCAAATAAAAGAGTGCTGTGGCTACCAGTTCGTGTTCTCTCTTGGTGTGAGGTGTTAAACTTACCTTGTGTGTTGTGATTTTAGATCCTCTCCGCCCTTCATTGACTGCTGGTTGCACGTGTTACATATGTGTAACGCTGTTTGCTGTCTGTTTATTCGTATATTGCATGTAAGTGGATTCTATGTGCTTACTGAGTCGTCGGCACATCTTTTTATCTTGTCCTTTCTTCCAGATAATCTCACGGTGCTCCTCACATCCCCCTAGCACACAAGGTACTTCCTGGCTAGACGCAAACCAACCAAAGGCTGAAGTTACATATGTGTAATGCATTCGGAACCTAACTTTATCAGTTGCTAGTTTCGTTTATCAGTCCGCGTTAATCTCATGCTGGCTTTGTTTCTAGTTGCTGTGTATTGATTTCTTTCTTGAATGTAAGTGCAATCTGTGTGCTTACTGAGTCGTTTGCTTAGCTCCTCCAGATAAGCTCACATTCTGCTCCACACATCCACAGCGCACAAGGTACCTCCTGGCTAACCAAAGGCTTAAGTTACAAATCTCATTTTCTGTCAAAACACTCCTCTGAAATTAGCTTTTGCATTAAGTATTGTAGGGTCAAGTCAAAGGTAGATAATTAAACCATACATTTGTGGTTAAATTCGTCTGTAATCCTTGTTTCTGTTGGAGATTTTGCAAATTTTCCAAAATAAAGCCGAAATTGTTAGATCAGGTGGTTGACTAGTGTCATTACGACCCTGAAGAGCTGTATCCTTTTCTGTCAGGACACTAATTCAAACCGTTTCTGTATTATAATATGCTACTACTGAAATCCTTTATGTCCTGCCTCTTCCTTTATTCTGGTCACTAGCTTTGGCATACATAACCAGTTTCCTAACGTTTAAAAAAATTTGATCAGTTTCGGAGACATGCAACTAAAAACCACAAGATTCTACATGGGCTACGGTTCTTCGTCGAAATAGCTTGAAATTTTTCAGAAAAACCCAGGATTCCCCTATCATTCATCCAGAATGTCGATTTACGTTGGAAAAATCTACTATATGATTTTGAAAGAACCCGAATTCCGGATTACTTTGGAGAAAACCCTGAAGATTTCTCAGCGTTTATAAACGCCTTTTTCCTCCTTCTAGCTGCTGACTTAGAAAACCATAATCGTAAAACTATTCCGTGATTCTCCGCAACATATACGCTGTCCTACATTTTTATAAATCTGCAGATTAAGGTTGCTCGCAGAAGCGTCTTAAATGATTCTTCAAAGACGATCAAATGCGAGACCGCAATTACAGTTTATCCCAAGCTATGAAGTAAACTTGTCAACAACTGTAATATCGAACGCTATATCTAAACGTCACAGTAATTAAAAGACTGATGTGCTGTAAATAATATTGCATATGTAATCCTGAAAAATAATTAACACATCAGGGTTAATTTACTGACTCATGTTCTTCTTAATTGTGATGTAGTTATTGTTATTTCTAATGTTCAAGTAAAACTTTCGTGAATATTTTTCTGCAAGCTAAAACATTAGCTTGATGCGTATTAAACGTGGATCTTGTTATAATGTTTTTATGATAGTGGTTAACAAACTACTGAAATGAGCCATTGAAGATGGCTTCGGATCCTATATTAACTTATGAATTGAGTATTAGTATGATAAGTAATATGAGAACCTCTACCAAATTAATAACTTACCATTATATCGGTGATAATTTGTGATGCCGGCTGGAAAATGTAAAAATACTAGTAATAAGGTTATTAAATAAAATAAACTTAGGGAAGAAAACGTATGCAATTGTACATTAAATTAATAATTATGTTACATTTTCTGTGGATCGCCATCCGCGCTCATACACTTTATACGTCGCGTTATGTTTAAAAACATGAATTATGGAATTATGTAGAACTAATTGGTGCTGTCGCACGGTGGTGCTAAAAATGTCGTTGTAGTCTCGCCGTAACATTGAGTGCGCCTTCTTGAAATAGTTTAAATGCAACCAAAGCCTCTAATTTAGACCTGAAGTATTGTTGACTGCAAATGGCAGAACTGATCACTAAATCAAAGAAAGGATGTAGAATTATTATTCAATAGCAAAGTTACGATTATCAGTTATATAAGTCATTCTTGATATATACTGTACTGTGTTAATTTTACTTGAAATGGTTACCCATTTGCTTTTCGAGTAAATTGCTGAATACCTGCCCTAAAATTCTCCGGCCACCTATGTTGTGGTTCTCTCTTTTGCTTTGAGAAGAACTGTATTATCTATGTTAAAAATAAGAGGTTGAATTCCTATTGGTCTTTCGATGTATATCGACTTTTGAGCTCCAAGAGTTATGATTTAACTTTTATTCGATGTATGAAAGTCTTTCTATAGAATATATTGATTCTTATTATCAGGCTGACTGGTGTGATTCCTAATAATTAGTATTTCTTTTAGAATCCAAGCTGAATAATGTCTAAAGGGATAATTTTGCGCGGTCGACAAACTGCCCAAGGTATAACTACGCTAATTTTGTGTTTATCATTATAGCTATTGGTCAGAAAATTAAATCGGATGTGGCTTATTTAAAATCGAACTTTGAAATCTCCCCTAAATTAGTTGTTGTTGAAGTAAGTTTCTTAAGTTTGTTTTATTGTTTCCTGTCTTTATAATGCATTTTTAAGTTTTTAATTTCTAGTTTTAATTTAGCCGATCAGTTTATATCTTATTGACTACTGTCTTAGCAAATTCATATACCCCGGCTGATTTTCTGACCATTTCAATAAATGTAAACTAAATTTAATTTTCAAGCTAACATGACTTTCGTGGTTTTGCGAATAAAGTCAATGGAGTAAGATATAAGTTTTTAACCTGATCAGTGATAATCATCTATCGAGAACTAAACCTCATTCCAGTCACAGCTAATAACAAACGCATCTCTGGAGAATCCTGTAGCCTATTAGTTCAAAATACATTTATGTTACAACTACTTTTGTCATCCACGAAGCCAGTCATTTTACCGGAGGTAAATCATATACACTTTATTTTCAAGGTAAAAACGTCGGTGTCTAATCACTAAAGATAATCCTATTAACTTGGACGGTACCTCGTAGTATTCATTATTTTTCCTCACAACTCAATTTTGGTTTGTCCATTATCATCTTAAATAAGCTGATGCAAAAGTGTCAATCTTAGGAGAGCTAATTAATGGTAATCCATTGTCGTGCGGAATAATACGGTGATATGAACTATGATCAAAAGTAATTCCTCTGACTGAGATAAAATTTCCTTGCTTAACTGATGTTTTCTTTTCCCCAACCCTTTAAAGTATCAAATCTATTGGAATTGTTAGTGCAACTGTTTGTACTTAATATGGTCGATTTTCTATTCCGTTTCATAAAGAGGTTCAAGTCTACTTCCAACCAATAATATTTTTTATTTACACTTAAGTCTTGTTAGGCCTTCGAGAGGACTGGTTATAATATATAATGAGTATTGTAATCATGTCGGAGTCTTGTGTAAAAGTTTTGAAAACAGCTCTGTATTTATTACCGCAGCAAACTGTTGCGTTGTCATCGAGTCTACTACCGGTGTGTTTACCTCGAATACAATGACGGAATTAGCTCCTTGAGTAAGAAAGTGGAGAGTAGATAGATAGCTCGTATTGGCTAATCCGATAAAAAATACACACATTTCATGTAGAAATTGGGTCATGTTTTCAAGTAATACTTTATCTCCTTTTCTTAGTAAAGTCAAACCTCGACCAGTAGCGTGCCTCACTTGTCTGATTGACCCACCGTATAATGTTTCTTAGTATAAGTCTGACTTTTCCGCATTTAGCCTTAGGAATGGTGGTTCGAATACATCGCGATATCCTAATATTTTGGTTGTTAACCCCAAAAACGAGATACCTATTCCAGCAATACTTGTCGCTTGTCTGTAAAGTTTAATTACTATTGTATATTTTTTATCATATTAACAGTAATCTGTTATTTTCACAACTTAAAAATTCTCTTGTGCGTTAGTTCTTACCAAAAGAATCGCTCATCTTCATTTGTAAAAATAAATTAGTCTCTGATTTGTGATCTGGTAAGCAGCAACGATTCTTGTGTTTTTTCGAAGGAGAAGGTTTAAAAATGTATTGTTTCATACTTCGAATTTATCTTGAAATCTGAAATCTGCACACCTCTCGAGGAGATTCTAAGTGAATAACACATTTGTTGAAAAACGTGCTGTATTGCTCACTAACCACAGATTATTGTATGCCGACTGAACTGTATTATATGTAAACTAATAATAATATCTCTCCAATCAAATTTAAAAACGATATGAACGTATAAATTTTACACTGTAAGCAAAGTATTTCTGCTGTTGGGTATATCTGCTATATGTTATTACTTGCGGACAACCTATTTTCGGTAGACGAATCGACTAATGTTTCTGCTTTGATTTCATCATGTTTCGTTTTTGCAACTTACTTCGTTATGTTACATAATTTCTTTCGATGTAGGTTGGTAATTTACCGCAATCAAAATTGTATATAGAGCAAAAATTTAAGTTTGCAAAGAAATATGGCGTAATTTTGTCCCACACGCGATTTCCATCACATTTGCCTGAATCAGTGGTAAGATATTTTTATGAAAAACAATGATAATAACAAAGCTTTTAGATTATATTTATAAATTGAATTCTGATTCATCAGTGCACGGCATCACTTTACAAGTAAGTTATTTAACTATGATTCCAATTGTCACCTAAACCAGATGGTAAGGAGTAATATGGGTAAGCTCACTGACCATTTATGTTGGAAGTCTCATCAGCTAAAATCTCGGCACTGACTTGAAAAGCTTGTTTGGCCTAAAATCATGAATAAAGTTGCTGATATTTAGCCCTAAATTTTTTATAATATTGCTTGCATAGAGATGCTGCAATCGACCCAAGTATACAAAAATCCAAATTGCCGATAAACTGTAGTGTTATCATCCTCTTGAGTGAAAGTCTGAGGATATCTGCCATATCCTTGACATATGACAAAAAAAAGACAATTTATTTACACTTTATTTAAGAATAGAGGATAAGCTAATCAAGAATTTGAAAAGTTGCATCAATATTTGTGAGGTAAAAATAAACTAGTGTTCATAAATTAATAATTAAAGAGTGATGAGGTTGTGGGTACGTTTTGTACATGTTTCGTAAGTTAATGGGTATTATTAGGTTGTCCCTAACAAGTTGGATAGATCATATGTTAAGCATGCTAAATTATTGTCTAACCCAATGTGTCTTGTTAGCTTAAGGGATTTAGATTGGAAGTTACAAAAGATAATAAAACAAAAGCACTAGGTTATTGTGTAGGAAGTTATGTGTCTTACTCTTAGGGTTCCTGTTTAAAAGCATGCATCGTGGAGCTTTATTATACCTATCTTTTCTCTGTGTAGTTGTTATGCTCGTCAATTGATATGCTTGAAACTATTACGAATTCACCTTATTCGGTAAACGGAAAGAAAAAATGACCCAGTAACACAATAGGCCACTCTAATCCGTTACCCCGTCTAACTGAAGCAAAAGTCTTGATATGGCGTAGAGAGTGTATTCTACAAGCACCCAGAAAATATAATGGTCTCAAGCACACAAATTGAGTTTATTTATACATCATAGAAACGTCCTTGGGAGAGCCACAAAAATAGCGTACTAAATTAACACATCAAACAATGAGAGTCAAGAATTTTCCTGGTGGGAAATGTAATCGAGGTCAGCTGATCAGCTCATGAATAAAATCAAAAATTGGGACCTTTATCAAGTGAGTTCGGAGGATCTAACGTCCCCAACAGTAATAATAATAATTATACTCGAGGTCCCCTTAGTGATGTAAGTCCACAGCATAAACATGTTCATCCTTTATTCTTGTTTAGATCCTGATCACTTTCAGATTCTTTACTATCCATTTTTGACGCTTGTATTTACTTTTCAGTATATATTATCGCTTTGCTCTGCTACTACGAGCTGTGGACCTGCATAATTTTGTGTAAACTTCATCACTAGTGTTAAGCATCAGGCGTGTTTGATCATGTGTTCTTTTAACTGCTGGAATTTCCCTTTTCCAACATTGTTACAAAAGGCACTGAAATATTTATGCGCCACACAAATTGTTGAATTTCTAATTAAGCTGGGATACTTCCGGGACGCTCGAACTGAATCAGGTGGTTTACTTAGGTGACCACACCCTGAGCCTTTGATCTAAAAGACTGATCTACAAAGAAATGGAGTGGAACAAAAGAAATGCATTTCTTTAGTAGCCCATAACCAATAATAGCTTCATACGCCATTTGTTCCATCAGGGTTCTGAGGCCAATGTGCACTATTGGTTTGAAATGAAGGTTTTTTAACTCCTCTAAGTAAATCGTTGACACTCACCAACGCAGTCTAGGCCCTAACAGGACACTAGCTTTTCGTGCTTCCGATTTTATAAACAGCGTCTCCGGTCATGAGAAGGCAGTGAGTAGGACTTTTCTGTCAGTGGCTATATATGCGTAGCGATGTGAGAAAGAATGTTTGGAGAGAAAGCGAACTCTCCCCACTCTCGGCCACACCGGAGCATTTAAAGACACTGTATACAATTGCTTCTGACGAGCTTTGCTTAAGAATATTGTCACGGTTTAGAAGCTATTCATTTTTGACGAGTCACTATTCAGTAGACCAATCATCACATAGCTGACAGAAAATAATGTTTTGTTGGAATCTATTCAAGTGTCTTCATGTTGAAGACGCTAAAATTTTGATCAAAAACAAAATCTTAACTTTTACTGGACTAAATAAATTGTTAAAATTGTGCTTTTGCTTCACCTCTTTTTTGAAGTTGCCTTTTGATTCTGAATCAAATATTAATGTTACTAATACACTGAATGCTGTGGCTACCCTAAAGGATGTTGAAGGGTATGTCCTTTATTTATGCACTTATTCTCTATGTATACCGTGAATTTTTTCCTCGGGTTTATTTTTCTCGATAACCAGAAATATTGTTTAACTTCAGTTAAGTTTGGATTTATTGAAGTAGTTAATGTCCGATACCTTTTAATTTCGTCCAAAGCATATTCTTGGCTCTGCACAAATAAATAGGTCATCAGTATATGTTTGACATACTGAATCAATGACGGATTGACCCCGTCACGGGAACTGTGCTTCATTAATTATTACCTGTTAAGGTTTGTATTTTCCTACTGTTAATATTGAAGAATGAATTTCTTTCAATCTTCGTCGAAGTACGGGCTCCTTAAATGGTTGTCTTTGTTTAGAAAGTTAATTACGTTTTAGGAATTAGTAATCAACATAATCAATCACTCTTCTTTCGTCATATTGAGGGATGATCAGCACCTTCATTCCTCCAGAGAACTCACTTGTCTTCCACAATCAGTGAAATTCCGTTTCGAATATCGACAACAGTAAAATGCCAACCTTCACAGTTGACAAAAATACCATTCTTACTCAACTCCATATTGTGTTGAAAAAGTGTTTTGTGGGCAAGGCGTCATTTTGGATGAAACTGTAAGCTCTGCTTCAGGTTTCACAAGCACAACAATAAGGGAGTGTAGCCTATGATTAAACCGGAAATTAGAATTATGGTATAATAAGCAGTTAAGATATGAAAGTTACAAGTGATAATTTATGACTATCGACAGAGAGATGTTTAATATATTAGTAATTAATTGGATCGATCACCATATAATTGTCACTCAAAAATAGAGTCAGTATAAGATGTGCAGCATGATAAACAGCATATTTGTTTGCACCACTACAACAGATTTCGAACCTTTCAATCTGGAGTCTGTAACTATCAATTCAGCGTGTTTTGGAAACCTCAACCTGGAATATACAAGTCATCTAGTGAACAATTTTTTATTGTGCATCTAATGTATTGTCGATGCCACAAAGATACGTTAAATGATTTTCTAAAACATACGAAGCGAACAGCCTTTAAGTAGTGACATTATGTGTGATTGTCAACTTTCATTGGCTTTTGTGTAGTGTAACCAGGTTGATAAACATAGTTGTAACTACATGCCTTTATCAACTTGCAATTCGATTGATAGCACGATTACATGTTAATACGTTTTTCTTCAATTGCAAATGTCACTCACTGTCTTGGTTGTTAATATTGAAGATTTCAAATAATGTCCAAAATGTTTGTTTGTTAGTATGAGAAGGGATGCGTCAAATCATTTTACATCGTTGGTTGTGATGTGCTCACCGATTTAAAAACATGCTTACTACTAACATCACTTGGAAAATTTTCACCATTTTTCTATACATTTCAGTCTGCATGTTGAAGCTTTTGAAAAGTGTACAGGTGGAAATTCTTTGTATAATCTCTAGGAAACCACATTTTAATTCAATTAATCTTAAAGATTTGTTAACAATTTCTTTTCGTTCCAAAAAATATCATACATTTTACTGATTATAATCTTGTTAACCATTTTTCTCTGTTCCTAACGTTTAGTTTAAATTCCTATAATACAGCTATATTAAGTCGTAATGATATATTATGTCCCCGATGTGAAAGCTTAAAACAACAGCATGTTCATATACCTTGTACAGCAGCTGCATGTTATGCCTTGATTCGTCATGTGAACTTTCCTATAACTGGTTCCCACTGTGTAATCATTGGTTGTGGTCGTCTTGTTGGAGCACCTACAGCTGATTTGTTGTCAAGATCATGCGGTGCAACGATTACACAATGTCATATACATTCAAATAATATTAATGAAGAAATTAATCGAGGTGATATTGTTATCTCTGCAGTTGGATATCCAGGATTAATAAAAGGTGAATGGATTAGACGAGGAGCGTTAGTAATTGATTGTGGCTATACTGTTGTTAATGGTATGTGGAATTAAATCTATAGTCTTACTTTTTAGTACGCCTTTTTTGTCGGCACGTTTTCACGTAACTGAAAAGTATAAGAATAATTACAGATTAGTACTGTTTAGTGAGCACTCATCGTTCTGTAGTGAATTCACTGAACTCTTTAACCATTGAATATTCTACTTTTGGTCAGTGTATTTCAATTTTGATCAGGTGATTAGTGTGAAAAACCATCACATCAAAAATATGACTGAAAGTTTCGAGAGCAAACTTCTAGTTGACTACTGAAGTAGATGTTGATTTTATTGATCAATTATTACTATGATTACTGTTGAAAGGTTCATTTACTGTAACAGAGGGAAACTAAAATAAATATGCGCCACTCGATTGGTAGCCAATATACAGGCAAGATGAGATTGCTACGTATGACGCTGTTTATTTCCCACTAAATCGAGTTACTGCTTTCGTTTGACTTGTTATATGACCCATGTTTTTATGAGAAGGCAGACAAGCAGAACCAGTGATGTCAAAACTGAAATGTATGACTCCAAATAGTGACAGATCTTGTGGGTGACTTGTCACAAATGAAGGCGGTAATTTATGGATATCGCAAGTGGCCTGCAGTTCAGTTGAAATACGATTAATATTTGTATTCGTTCTAGTACTTTATGTCATTGAACTCCTGGTGGCTTCTGTAAACAGGCTTGTTGAGGGTAGTTCTATTGGAATCACGATGTAGAACACCTTGTAGTCACACTTTTGGTTACTGTTTCGGAGCGTGGTGTTACAGTTGTACTACGAAATGCAGCTTCTCAAGGTCTGAGGGCAAACTCGTGCAGCTTACTGTAGAGGGTTTTACAGCAGTA